GGGGGGTGGGGGGGGTTTTTTTTTTTTTGCTTTGGTTTTTTTTTTTTTTTTTTTTTTCCTTTCTTTTTAATCTGTTTATTTTGTGAAGCCTGTCTGCATTGTGGTCGGGGGTGGAGGGAGTGGAACGCGCTTGGCTGCCGCTGGGCTGAGGCTGCCTGAGCAGGGGTCGGGGCCGGGGCCGGGGCCGCTGCAGGGGCCGGGCGGGGGGCTCAGTGCAGGTCGGCAGCAGCTGCCCGACTCCGCATGCCTCTGTCTGTCCGTGTCTGTGCGTGTGCCGGGGGCGAGGCGGTGGCGGGGAGGGGAAGAAGCCCGGCATTGTCTCCGGCTGGTTGGCAGCGCCGCCGGGGCGATGCCTGCGAGCCTCCTGGATGCACATTTCCTCTCCTTCTCTCCTTCTTTTTGTCAGCGGTTCAGCGAGGAAGAATGCCGCCCACCCAACCCAACCCCGGCCAGTACGCGCTGACCAACGGCGACCCTCTGAACGGGCACTGCTATCTCTCGGGATACATCTCCCTCCTGCTGCGGGCCGAGCCCTACCCCACCTCCCGCTACGGCAGCCAGTGCATGCAGCCCAACAACATCATGGGCATCGAGAACATCTGCGAGCTGGCCGCCCGTCTGCTCTTCAGCGCCGTCGAGTGGGCCCGCAATATTCCCTTCTTCCCTGACCTGCAGATCACCGACCAGGTGGCCTTACTGCGGCTCACCTGGAGCGAGCTCTTCGTCCTCAATGCTGCCCAGTGCTCCATGCCCCTCCATGTGGCCCCGCTCCTGGCCGCCGCCGGCCTCCACGCCTCCCCCATGTCGGCAGACCGCGTTGTCGCCTTCATGGACCACATCCGCATCTTCCAGGAACAGGTGGAGAAGCTGAAGGCGCTGCACGTCGATTCGGCTGAATACAGCTGCCTGAAAGCCATCGTCCTCTTCACCTCAGGTGAGGGGACGGGTTGGGGATGTGAGATGTCTGGGAAAAAAAAAAAGGAAAAAAACCCCAAACCACATGCAGGAAAATAAGGGGAAAAAAAATTTAAATAGAATTATTTTTAAAGGAAAGGGACTGGAGGTCGAGGAAGCACAGCACCTGATGGGGATACACTCCGGTCCGGGGATCATCCTCATTGCCAGTGATACTGGCTCTTTAACACACAGCCCCTCCAAAAAAATAATACTGAAAACCAAAATCAAATTAAGTGTAGGCGGTGGAAACATGCATGTTAACAATTTTTCCCTGTGATAGATGGTTTGAATTAACTAGCAGGAAAGTTGCATTAGCATTGCCTTTGAAGTGCTCTGGTCATAGCCTATAAGAATATAATACGTATACTATTATTGTAACCTGCAAGGGAGAATTTATAAACATCAAAGGGAAACTATATGAAGGAAATACAGGAAATGGAAACAAGGCAAGATAAGAGTCTGGGCAGTGTAGTTTTATAATTATTCTAATTATCATCACGATGTGACTAATTGCCACCTCTCCTACTTGTTTTTCTTTTTTTTTTTCTTTTTCATTTTTATATCCCCTCTCCCCATCCCCTAGCTCCTCTCTTGTATGAGCCTCTCCCCTCTATTCCCGATTAGCAACAACTAAACAGTTCTGATAAATGTGCCTTAAAACCAGGCCAAGGCAAAATTAAAAGCATTCCTGAACAAAGATGACAAATCGTTCAAAGGCCTTGTTTAACACTGAGCAGTTTATAATCCATCAATATTTGCTGCCTTTCAAGCACGAAAGATAGTATTTACATTGTATTAAAATGTCTCCTAAATTTGCACTATATTGTAATGTAGCAAATGTAGTATTAATATCGATTTGAACATCAGATAATTTATTTAGACAGGAGTATCTAATTTGTATGCAGGGTGGTCAGAGACATGTACTATGACTGCCCCCTTTTACTTCCAGTGCAAATGCAGTCTCGCAGCATTGGAGAGAATATTTCATTGCAAAGGATAATGTGCAAATCTTAAAACAAATGGAAGATTTACTGAATAGCCAACTCGACATTTTAATGTATTTTATCATAATAAGTCTTCTTGATGGAAACATGTTTTTCAAGAGTGACAAAGAGACCTGCCTGCATTTATCAGGGTGATTTAACTCCACAGCCTGCCTGCAGACTCCCAGACTTTCCTTTCCCATTCATTTCAGGGAGCTCATCAATACACACAGATAGTCAAGGAGAACCATTTTTTTTTTCCCAGACCCAACTTGGAGAGATTCTTCCCAAGCAGAGCTGGGAAAATGTCTGGCCTGTGCCTCAGCCCTTCCACACGTCAAAGGCCCTGTGAAGGAAGTTGCCCCTGATAGGGACATGGCTGAGGCAATATTTTATTTTTTCTTCTTTTTCTTCTCTCCCGTTCCACCCAATCTTCCCCCTTTACTTCTGAAACAATTGACCTTGTCTGGAAAAAGGGTAAGTGGCTTTAGAGGAGCCCTTCATTTACATATAATAAAACCAAATGTAATAACATTTGTGAGGGGAGAAGCCCCTTCCCACAGTGGAGTGGAGACTGAATGAAGGAAACAATAATATTATTTCAGAGCAGGATCACACAGGGCGTCTCAGGAAATGGAAATACTGCTGTCAGGAGTAATCTACTACTCCTTACCCCATCTGCACATTTCCACTTTTCACTAAACTTGTTTTCATTGCATATTCAGAGGGGAAATAATGAGAAGCCTTTCTCAAAGTCATGCAACTTTTAAACAAAGTTTAAGTGACAGAAAAGACATTTTTAGGCATATAGTCCAAAGTCCTTCACTAAGGACTAAGTATCTAAAACTGGCATGGATTTTTCCTGTTGTGGTTTCTACATTTGGGCTCCACAGAGTATGTATTTATTCTGTAAAATTCTGGACACCATCCAAAAGCTGTGTAGTAACCCAAAACCAGCTCCTTTCTTTCCTCCTTTACCCTTCTCTTTGCATACCCTCCTCCTTGCCCTCATCTCTTTCTCCCCGCTGCCAAACTTTAGTATTATTAATTCCAGCATCTACCTTTTCATTGTCGTAAATAAATGTTTCCGGGAACAGACAGAGACAGATAACATAAATCAAATAAATCTATTTGCAGCACAGTAAGAACTTTTGATTTCTAGTTAGATGCCAGCTGATTATGTCTATATTTTCTGAACACTAAACTCTTCTGAACATGTAACATGAAATACATTGCCGCCACTACAAAGGGGAGGCTGGAGTGTGTTGAACAGTAATGGTTATTTATTTACATAATTTCTTTTCCACAGACTGCAAGAAGAAATATAGAGCTTTCCCTTATTGACACACTGCCATATAAAAAAGCAAGGCACACACAGGATTTTCACATTAGCCCACTTTCTGAGATGGAATAATAATTTACCTTCAGTAAACATGGGTTGCATTATTTCTCCCATGGATTGCACCTCTCTGGGCTGCATAATCTAATCGAGTTGTGGATCCCTTAATTATTATTATTTTTAATCTCATTCTGAAGGGAGAATTGAGCCTAGCCCCCCCACTTTAGGCTGTGAAATAAAACCCAAGTGAAGGCATATGCTAGGCCATTTAAAATAATTTAAGCCACACAGATACTATTGGCATGAGAAAATTCCGAGTTTTTGGAGGTCTAAGGCAAAACCTGTGGCAATTTTTCAAGCACCCACACACATCAGGCTGATGCCCTTTTAGAGAGCAAATTCCCCATCCACATTGTCCAGTGACCTGCACTTATAGGTGCACTTATTGTAAATGTCTGATAAATATTTTACTAACCTTAAGGGTATGACATATGGGGCATAAGGAAAAAAGATCTGCCAGGGTGTCAGTAAGACCCTTTCATATTGCATTGTTTGGAAGTTGAATAGGATCTAATGCATAATGGGCAGATAATGCATGTAAAATAGCAAGATATATGTAAATATGGAATCTGATTTGTGGCAATCAACATATGAACAGGTCTGTGGTTTTAGATATGTATTGCAAACAAGGACAGGCCCCAGCTTTTGATAGATATATATGTTGCAACCTGGTGCTTTAGATGTTGCAAAATATCATTGCATTAAAGGTAGAGTATGGATTAGCAGAGCAGCCTGGCTCAGATAATTGTGTGTCTGAGGGATGCCAAGTCCACAGCTCAGGTCAAAGGTTCTCCTTCTCAGAAGTTCCTAAATTGTGGCTTGTTTTATTTGTATTTTGCTTGAGGCTACAGTATTGTAGATGAAGGTGTTCAAAAATCTTTGTAAAGTCAGTTCTTGGTAAGGGAAGACTTAAGCTTCAAAAATGCCTGTGCCACAGATTTTATTTTATTTTATTTTAAGCTTTGAATAATTTGTTGATTTGTTGTGTCTTTCCAGGGTCACAACTGTACATTCACATTTTTATAATGTCTTTTTGGGGGCTATTAACTAATTCATTATATCTATATATTATATAGATCTATATAATTAGTAAAATCTGGCTTTGATCTGTTAGCCTGCACTGCTAGCTGACCGCCTTGCTCTGATCTTGATGGCTGGAGGTTTTTTTGGTTTGTTTGTTGCTTTTTTTTTTTTTTTCTGTTAGCTTTTTTGGTTATTGTTTTAGTTTGGTGTTTTTAATATCTATTCTGAATCTTTGAAACAATGTGGATGGTTTCAACCATCTGGGCATACCCACCACTGTTCCATGACTGTAGTTTCCTGAGCAAGTCCTTCCACAAGCAGCTGGTGCACAATTGTCCTCTGGTTTGGGTTATGTGTGGGATAGGATATGTTCTTGTGTCTCCATGTGTGTGCAAATGCGCAGATGCATCCATACCTCTCTGCTAGTATCTGTATAAATAGAATAACATGTATAGATACAATACATGGGTGTAAAGGGCTTCTGCTCTCAGATTAGTGCACATTTGCCCAGGTCATGTAGTTCTGCAAGGTGCAAAGTGTGTGTTTCTGACAGTTTGGATGTCAGAAGGACCTATAAGGAAGGAGTCTCTCTGGTTTCATTTAGGCAAGGCTTAGCTGCTGCAGCTCTCCCCAGCTTTGTGTCTGAGAGCTACAGATGCCTGCTGAGCACAAGCTGGGACTAACCTAGCCCTTTGCTACCGGATTTATCATACAGCCCACAAAGATGTCACAAATTTGCGATCACTGGCAGTGAGGCAGGAGCAGAGGAGACTCCCCTGCCCCACGGCATCCCCCAGCCGGCTCCCTGCCAGTCGCTGCAGGACCCAGTCGCTGCCTCTCTGTGATGTGCAGCCATGTAAACAAACTCCTTGTTTCTCACTCTGCTTGTGTGCAACTCTTCTGATTATTATTATTGTTGTTATTTATTATTATCATTATTATTATTATTATTTTCCCCAATACCTTATTTTTCTTCCTCTCGGCGTTATTTAAGGGGGCTGGTCCAGTTTTCCAGCATCCCGGTGATGGGCTCCCTGGAGCAGAAACCACGCTCGACAGCGCGGAGTGTCGGTGGGGGGGATGTGAAAAGGAACTGTGGGGGTTTGTGTGTTTGTGTGTGTGATTGGGACGAGCGGGGTGCTGCCACCCCATCACATCCTGGGTGAAAATACCCATGGTGGCGACGAGGCACAGTGAGGTTGTGTTATTTATTTGGCAGTGGTGCACGGGATGGGATAGGATGGGGTGGCATCGGGAGGGATGGGATGGAATGGAATGGGATGGGATAGGATGGGAACCTCCTCCTCCTCCTCCACCTCCTCCTCCTCCACCTCCTTCCTCCACTCTCCTCCCGCCTGCCGCCGTTCTGCGGCTGCTTCCGCGGGTGCGGTGCGGTGGGCAGACGCCTGTGGCCTATCGGATGCTGCGCACATCGAGAGCCTCCAGGAGAAATCACAGTGCGCGCTAGAGGAGTACGTGCGGAGCCAGTATCCCAACCAGCCGAGCCGCTTCGGGAAGCTGCTGCTGCGGCTGCCCTCCCTGCGCACCGTCTCCTCCTCCGTCATCGAGCAGCTCTTCTTCGTCCGCTTGGTAGGTAAAACCCCCATCGAAACCCTCATCAGGGATATGCTACTGTCGGGGAGCAGCTTCAACTGGCCTTACATGTCCATCCAGTGCTCCTAGAGCCCATCCCGCACCCCCGGCAGAGAGGCGGCGAAGCGGCGGAGAGGGGAACGCTCGCACCGAGGGGCAGTCGGGGTGCGGGGGGGCCCGGGAGGTGGACACTGAACAAAAGAAAGGGCGAGTGGGAGCAGAGATGTGGCCGTGGAGGGGAAAAGGACGGACCTGTCGTCCATGGAGGTTGTGTGGGAAGGGTTGGGATGGGATGGGATGGGATGAGACGGGATGAGATGGGATGGGATGCTGGGTGTGCCTTTGAGCTGCCCACCATCCCCGCGGAATTTCCCTGTGTTGTTTGTTTTGTTTTTTGTTTTGTTTTTGTTTCTGTTTTCTTTCGGAGAGGAGGAAATAAATAAATAAATAATATTAATAAAAGAGACAAAAAAAAATGAGTATTGAGGGGATATTAATCAAACCTGAAGGGGATACTGGATCTTCCAGGATTTATTGTGGACTGTTGTTGATATATGCTGTACAGTAAACCAACAAAACAAAAAAGCATTGAAACTGAACTGAACCTTGTGTAGAATAAAAACAAAAACGCCCAAAACCAAGCAAACAACAACAAAATTTCCATGCGCAAACACTTACCATGAACATTGTTGCTCCTTTTGTAATATATTAGTCTTTATTTTCAATTTTGGTAAAAGTTAAAACATCATATGCGCATAAAGAAAAAAAAAAGGAGAATTGGGGGAAATAACATTTTCCAAATAATTATAAAAGAATTGTCCTGTGTCTATGTATCTATATCTGTTTTGTATTTTTTTCTGGTTCCAAACCAGGTTTCCTGTGATTCTATACTAATAATTTTTGATATAACCCTTTGCTTCTTATAATGAGTGCGATATATGTTGTCAAAGCTGTTCTTCAAGAATTAAAATTGAAGTGAGAATTTAAAAAAAATAAAAGAATTTAGCAAAAAACCCCCAACTTATCACCCCACAACCCATGAGTCTTGTTGCTTGAAACATGCCAACAACTCACAAAAAAAAAAAAAAAAAAAAAAAAAAAGGAAAAAAAAAGAAAAAGGAAAAAAAACATAAACCATAACAACAAAAATCTCCCCACATTTTTTTACTCCTTTACTGGTGCTAAAAAGGAGAACTTAAAAAGTACTTGGGAGGGGTAACCAAATCGTGCAAACTACAGGATGCTCCAAAATTGATTTGACTGTATAAGCTTAGGACTGAGCTGTCAAGGCCTAGAAAAAGGGAGCAGGAGTTGCAGTGTGATGCCTTAGGTGACCTCACCTTACTGCACCACAAACTCTCCACCAAGGCTGATGGGCCTATCAGGTTGGCCTGCCCCTTTTGAAACACATTTCCCATCACCTGGATTTTCTGCTGAGTTCACACCTTGCTTTTTAACCTCAGACACCGTGGGCATGGACAGAAGTAACCACATGCCATTATCTCTACCTGTGCAGCAGGAGGCATACTCTAATCAGGGGTCCTGTTTGTTCCAGGCATGATGGCTTTCTGCTTGTGGGGGCTTGGCATGGGGTTGACTTTTTTTGGTTTTATCTTCTTTCCCACTCCAAGGACTCGCAGACCCCAATATGTGCTCCAGTGTGCATGCCTTGTGCTTACTGTCAGCCAGAACAGATCTCTTGATTTTTTTCCAAAATCTAGTTGCTGTGTGTGGAGGGTATTCCCACTCCATTAATACAGAAATCCAGCTGGATGCTTGCTCATTGGGTGGTGAGCTAGTGCATTTAATGTATGTTTATGTGCCATGGCCATGCAAAGAACACAGGCTGTGACATCCCACACCATGGCCCACCCACTGCCAGGGCCTGAGCTCTGTGCCAAAAAACCCTTTTCATTTCAGCTTGTATTTTTTTCCCCAGAAAATTAAAAATTGTTTTTGTAATGGAGCTCCTTTGAAGGTAAAGGCTTCTAGCTGGTGGTGCAGATCTCTGTAACAGCTTTCAGTGCATTAATGTTTTATAGGATCTGAGACAGAGCTGTAAGAACACATACTACCAAGGGAGCTCTTTCTTAATGTATTAATAAAGCTGGATCTTTAAAAATAACATTGTCCCACTCACACAGACACCTCCTATGCCCTCCAAACAAGTCTAGATGAGGCAGACTTCACAGTTTGTGAAGACATGGGCAGTGTTTTCCCTTCAATTTGCTATCTTCCATACTCTCCTCTTTCTCCTTCCCTCTCTCTCCCTTCCCTCTCTCTCTCTCTCTCAATCTCTCCCATTCTTTTTAATTTTTTTCATTCTTTATTTCTTTTTTGCCGGTTTTTTTCTTTAACAAAATTCTTCAACTCACTTGGGGTTTTTAATATTCTAGGCGCAGCAGATCTGAGGTGAGAGCAGCTCTATGCAGGAGACAGTTGTAGCTGGATAATCAAGATTACGGGCAGATCCTCTATGGGGGTATCACCCCATTCAGGATGGAGAAACGGCCTGTATTCATAGGTGCTGGGAGTGGGAGGACTTGGATAATTCCAGACCTGCACACAAGAACAGGGATTTGGGAGTTAGACAGACAGACAGACATCCTCCCTTTTGTTACTCACTTGGACACTGCATGAGTGAGAGCTTTGTTCCTGCCCCTTCCCCGGGGCCTTCCCTGGAGAATGGGAGTCCAGCAGCCCCTCCGAGCTCTCAACAGGGAGTGAGAGGGAATGCTCAGACATGGGAGGTGATGAAAGAAGCATTTTCAGCACTGCTTTATGGTGGGATGGGTGATTTGGGACCCAGATGAATTAGCAGTTAAACAAAAACAAAAGAAAACAACAACAACAACAAGCCCAAAAACCCAAACCTGAACCCAAAAAAACCAAACCCACGGAAACAAACAAACACCCCAAAACCAAAAATAACAACAAAAACCAAACCAATAAAACAAAAAACCAGCCCCTCCCCCACCTAAAAATAAACAAAACAAACGGGGATATCGGAATAGAAAAACAGGTCTCAGTTTCTTCCAATGAGATGTAAATAAATTCATTACAGTGTTATCCCACTGATGAAAACAGATAAACTTTTTCGTAGATATTTTTCAATTAATTTTCATATTTATGAATAATAATAACCCACGGATTGCCAAGAAACTTGCAGGTGTAGAGGAGGTGTACGAGATGCACTTATTTCCATGTATGTGCCTAGAAAGAAGTGTTTCAATCCCTTATTAAACTTTGCTTATAAGACGGTATTGTGTTTTGAAGTGTTAACTACCCAGTCTGCGTTGTGTCAGTGGATGTTTTCCTTTGCCACGCTGCAGCTTCTCGGGCATTCATATGGCAGCTAAAAGTACTGTATCATCGCGTAATCGCATGCTATTTGCTGAGAAAAAAAGAAAAAAAAAAAGTGAATGTGGAGACAGGCTGGGGTCCCTCAGCAAGTTTCTGCCGACTTATTCGTATTCTACAATATGCTGCTTTAAAACCAGCCCCATCTACATTTCTTCTGCCGTGTTGTTGCCGGGGGCCCGGGCGCTGTCCCCGGAGGCTCCTCGGTTCCCCAAGCTCCTCAGGAGGCGGGGTCGGCAGGGAGTTCCCTCGCATCCCTGCATCCTGCCTCGCAGGGCTCCGCGGCCCCTCCATGCTCACCAACAGCTGCGGCAGCACTTCAAAGGCTGGGGTGGGGTTGGAGGGGAGGAAGCTGGGGGTCGGTGGAATTTGGGAGAGGGGCGACTCTCCCACCGTAGCCCCGCGCAGGAGACCTGCTCGGGGCACGGCAGTTACAAAGCTCTCCTTCCCACTCCTCTTAGCACCTCGCTAAGTAGCTTGCCTCCTCCCACCGCCCAATTAGGCCTTTTCTATACATTTAATCGAATAAATATTTGGAAATGCTGCTAAGTGGTAGGTTGAACCCGAGCTGAAGAGGAGGGGGGCTTGCCGGCGGTGGCAGGGGTAGCGCCGAGGCGAGGGTCGTTTGTGCGTGCGCACCTCCTCCGGCTGTCCGTGAACGCCACGGGCTGCGGCTTCCCCTTTCCTGGGATTTCTCGATGCGCCCTTGCCCCCGGGAGGCACCTTTTGGGTGGCTCGGCTTCCATCCACCTCCTTCATCTGCAGGAGGAGGGTGATAAGCCCACTGTAAGGGTGGGTGGTAAAGGATAACCCCCACTTTCCCCGTATCCATCGAAATATAGTAGAACTGGGGAGGGAGCGTGGGTATGGGACTCCATCCTGAGTGATCTGTGTCATCGCCACCAATAAAATCGACGGTTCAAGATGCAAAAGACTCTTTTCCTGCTGAGGTAAATGGAGGGTCTGGCATGAAAATCTGGCTCGGGGTCACTGCAAGTGTCAGCAGAAGTAATACAAGAAAAAGGTGGATTCTGCGTAGGTTCACTCTCAGGAGACTGGTTGGTTACCTACACAAAGACAGAAATGTCTTTTATCTGACAGAAAGGGCTGAATAGGACCTCCGATTTTGCTGGTGTTTTCTTGCGATTTTTTTTCTGGTTTTGGGGGGGTTTTTTGGTCGGTCGGTTGGTTGGGGTTTTTTTTTTTGTTGTTGTTGTTATTGTTGGAGTTTTTTGTTTGTTTGTTTGTTTGCTTTTTGTGGGGAGTGTGTTTGTTGATTTTGTTGATTTTGTGGTTAGGTTTGGTTTCTTCTCATTACCTGAGGGGTGTGGCAGCCAGACGTCCCCTGCTCAACAGACAACAGATGCGACCAGCTGCGAGCAGGCAGGGTTGGCAGGGACGGTGGCCCTGGCTGGCCTGGATGGACTCTCCGACAGATGGACAGAGGGACGGAGGGCTCAACAGGGATGTCAGGGCTTGCTGCAGCCGCCCCTTCCAGCAGTGTCCCGGCGCGCAGCCATTCACAGGGAGTGTCCGCGAACGCGTGTGCACGGCTGTTACAGGCACTGTCGACATGTTTCCTCCGGTTTCCTGGGACATTTTGACTATTCAAAGCGTTAGTTTATAAGTCTTGAAATAGCAGGTAGGGTTTTTTCTCTTCTCTTCTCTTCTCTTCTCTTCTCTTCTCTTCTCTTCTCTTCTCTTCTCTTCTCTTCTCTTCTCTTCTTTTTATTTTTTTTTAGATCCATATATCTGTCTTCCCTGCTCTCTGTTTTACTGGGACAGGCAGAAACTGGGG